GGCTCACTTGGCCCTTCGGGCCAGGTGAGCTAAAAATTAGACATGAGACAGAATGATAAAGATTAGTGCTTACCTCAAGTAATTCCAGGTTTTCGTCTGTTTCCTCGATAGGGTCAATGACACTGATGATATCTGACAAAGAGCTCGTCAGGGATTCCTTCCTGTAAGAGTGCATGGAAAATAGAAGTTATCTCTGATCTGGCATGAATGACAACGGTCGATGTCAGATTCCTGTTTCATGTTGAAGTAATTCTGCTCTACAATTGTGGCAGGAATACAAGTTTCTAAAACTCAGCTTTTAACATTCAAAGCAAGCAAAGGTCCCTAACTTGACTAACTTGATTTACCAATAAAACATTATAGCAGATAGAAACTTTTAATGTGATTGAACTCCTGATCATCTTTCTCATGTAAAATCATTAACAGTTCTCTGAGGATTTCATCTCAATTTCTATAATATTACATATTCTTGTTAATAAAATTCAATAAAAACTGCAAGCCACAGATTAACTAATAGACCTCGCTTTCAAAACATATAACAAGAGATCCCAGAAGGACCTTGGCGCCCAACATTGTACCATCTTCATTAGTTCTATGTCAGTTCGATCTTTTCTCTTCTTTTCTATTATCAGTTTGCATTTGAATTGCCTGTCCACAATCTTAATCAATCTTTTTATCAACCTCAAAAGTTAACATGCACAACTCAGGACCATGGGGAACCTATATACCAAATCTGAGAAAAAATTCTCCAGTCAATTCTGAGAAATAGCAATAACAAACTTAAACTGTAACAAGATAACCGGCCGATATGATTTGATATGCATAACTAAGAACAAGAGGTACTCTTATGTGAAATTTGAGAAAGATCCCTCCAATATTTTTTGAGCAATAGGGCTAAAAAACTTTTACTCCCAAAAAAAATATGACCACCTGCCAGCCATCTTGGTTTTCCAATCATCCCCAAAATTCGAAATGCAGAATTAGGAACCATTGGAAAACTTCATGTGAAAGGAGTAAATGCGTTATGGCCCAAATTTGGCCTCAAATATTTTTTTTTCTAATTGTTAGAAAAAAACTTAACCATGTACCCATTTATGTTATTTGACAACCAGTCAGTTGAAAATCAAGAAAAAATAGGTTTAAAACACCATTGATGACGTCACAAATTTCGCGGGAAAACGTCACGTTTACAAAAAAGTGAAGATTTTTACCATGTTTTGTAACTTTGAGTGAAGTTTCAAATACCTCCCCAAGGGTGTACCAATTTTATATTTAAGAATTAGAATAATGTAGGTATTTTGTCTGTGGTGTTCAAAAATATTTTTGGTACATGCTTGGGGAGGTATTTAAAATAAGAAAATACTGCTAAATTTCCGACCGATTTGCAACAAAAATTGCATCGCGTTGACGTAGCCCTGTGTAACGATATCGACCGACTGCAAAAGACTGGTCGGGATCTTTACAGACAATGTTGAAATTATAACTTCATAAAAAAATACTGTTCTGATTGATGAGTTGACCTACGTATTTTGTTAAATAAAAAAAAAAGATAAAATAGAAAAACAAGTTATGATTTTAAAATGCAAAAAAATATCCATAAAAAAAATCGTCCTGCGATCCTGTTTCGCGTTGCTATAGAAGCTTATGCAAAGATGTAAGCCTACCCTAAACGTTGGAGCTTCAAAGAGCTGTCAGCACGATCTACATATCATAGAAGTTATCTACACATCATTGGACAGGTATGTTATAATTTTATGTAAAAGTGATCGGTGCATGAACAAACAAATGCTTGTATAATGTGTGATACTCTTCGATTCGAACGCCGTGTTTTGTTTACGTTTGTATGGCCGAGCAGACGTCTGTTGTAACTTCAATGAAGATCGTCATTGTCGATATTTCTGTTGTTTTGCTCAAAAATAGTGAATATTTATTGAGTAATATGAAATGAAGAATACTTTTTTCAAAAGCAATACAACTAAATACTTTGTTTTTAGCATGTTTTTCAGTTCAAAGCTTTTAGTTCTAAGTCTAAAAATAGATTTTAGTGGCGTAAAGGAAATCCCTGATTAACCGTCGGAAAATGATTAGCCGACCAATATTTGATAAAACATATACTAACGTGAAACAGATGAGAAAGTATACCAACATATGAAGTACTAACATATGGGGTACATTCATTAACACAACAAATTAACATCGACGCACACACACTTTTTCCTGTTGATTTTGAGATATTGTAGATTAACAAATCCTCATCATCCAAGAACGGATGCTTGGTGTAGTGGTTAGCATCGTGGACTTTGCACTTATTTTTACATCATTGGGGGTTCAAGTCACACTCAGATCACTTTTTTTCGAAGTTTTACTTTTTTTTCGAAGTTTTACAGTAATTGTAACAATTAAGGTAAAAATCAGTACTCATATCAACTGATAAGTGTTCATTTTATTTTTGGGGCTTATATATTTTATAATTTCTCTATTAATATTTTTTATGAAAACAAAAGCTGCATATATGCTGAAATTAATTATATGTATTTTCCTTTTAAGGATGCCAGTAATATGATGGACCCTGAAATCAATGATCACATCTGTATGGATATTCTTGAAGTTACACGTAAGTTTTTTGTAATATCGTAACTGAATTAATTATATTTTTGTCAGTGCTTCAAATTGCTGAAATTGTATGTGTACTCTCGCTGGTCAGATCACTCCTTTTTTTATTTATAAAAAAATTAACGAGTTAATTTTATTGTATGGGCTAAATGCTTTTTGGAAGGATTCATTAATTTCCTTATGAACAACTTAATTAAGCTAAATGAAGAATATCCTTAGTTATATATGAATAGCTAATATGAATTCAAAACTGAACAAAAATATATTCAAGTAAATAAGCATAAGTGACTTTGTATGACAATTGAAGCAGTTTAAAGCCCTCAAATATACATGTATCATTCTTAACATATTTTGTTGAAGTGAAAACACAAATTGTTAAATGAAAACACTGAAATTCATTATTATATTATTTACATTTTTTTAGGATGCCATTAAATAAAATTATATTCCATAAGAACAAGAGAAGATGCATGGATATTCTTGAAGTGACATGTAAGTTTTTGCTGATGTAACAGTATTATATTTCAGTGCTTTAAATTGTCAAAAAGCAGAATTTTGATATACAAGTGTAAAATGTTAAAAAGCAAATGTTCCCCAACGAGAATTCTGTCACAGGATTATCTCATTCATATTTTGAAAGAACCACCCCCCCCCCTCCTTTGCTTACTAGTTATATGAACGGTATAAATGAACGCTATAAATAAGAGGTGGTAAATAAAGAATGATAACAAGTACATATTTTCGGCGTTAATGTTTCATACTTATTAGTCTTTATTAGTTCCCTACCGGTGAAACCGGGGAGCTATAGGTTTAAATAATTGATTTTTTTCCTTTTTTATTTTTACATGTTTTGGACTTAAGTATCTTGGCCAAAATCTGAAGGGTTAAAGGTTCGATTAAACTTTTGTAATGGCTCACCGTTCACTTAATAATAGTGTTAGGATGCTGATTTTATGTACACAGGTTCTTTAGGCATCTAGCATTAATGTTGTTTAGTGACAGTGGACAAAATATTTTATTTTATTTTGAATTTTTGACATATTTTCGACTTAACTATGTTGGCCAAAATCTGCAGGTTAAAGTTTGGGGGCCGGTAGGGGACATGTTTTGATTCATCAGTACCCACAGAATGCTTGTTCAATAAAGAATAAATGCATGCTCAGACGTTCTTTATAACTGGTTTTCAGGACGTGTTTTAATATATGATTGCTATCTATTGTTTAGGATGCCTGGAAAAGGAGAATTTCGGTGTGTTGTTTGTTCTAAAAGAACAAAGCCTGGGGACAGGCGCTTCATTAAAGGCAAGGAAAACACTACACTGAGGAAGTATTTGTTAAAAACTTTTATGATACAAACAAAAGATGAAGACGTTATTTGTGGAAAGTGTCGCATGTCATGCCATCGCTCATCACTACAGCGTCGTACAATTACCGGTCAACATACCTCTTGTGATAAATCTGCAAACAAAACCCTTTTGTCACCACGGAATATAACACTTCCGATACCATCCACAGGAAGCAGCCACAAAAAATGTTTCGTTTGCAATACCTATCCAAAGAAACTGATGGTAATCTCTCGTGACGCAAAATACGACCTCTTCCTGAGAAAAGGTATTCTGGTACCATTTGGAGCAAGATGTTGTGGTCATCATATTGAGGAAGGTTTGTTGCAAAATGAGGCATGTGAAAACATTGCAATAAAAAGTGACTTATCCTCGCTAAATCGTACAGACTTACTGTCTTTAATTTCTAACATCAGAGATGTAGCAAATGCCCAACAAAGCAAACGTATTGATTTCGACTCACCACATGCTCTTTCGGATGAAGATTTCATTACCCTAACTGGACTCAGTGTTCAACATTTTAACGATTTGTGTATTCACTTCGTTGGTTCCGTACGATCTTCAAAAAATAGGAGCATTAAATCTTGTGTCGGTATCTTTCTTACTAAACTTAAGAGTGGCATGTCAAACAAGATCCTATCAACAGTGTTCAATATTGGTAAAGATTCCATTCGACGTGCAATATCATCGGCTAGGATTGCACTTATGAAAGACTTTGTTCCATCAAATCTGGGCTTTCAACATGTAAGTCGACAGGATGTCATCTCAAAACACACAAGACCACTAGCCCAAACATTGTTTGGAGGGCTAATGGAACCAGCCATTCTTGTGATTGACGGCACCTATATTTACATTCAAAAGAGTGGCCAGTTTATGTTCCAAAGGAGGAGCTACAGCATGCATAAGCACCGTCCATTGGTGAAACCTATGATGTTTGTCACAACAACAGGTTACATAGTAAGCGTGTTAGGACCTTACTTTGCAGATTCGAAAAACAATGACGCCAGCATCCTGAATCAGATTTTGAATTCCAACATTGAAGAGATCAAGGAGTGGATTCAGGAAAATGATGTGTTTGTGGTTGACAGAGGTTTTAGGGATTCTCTGGACCTCCTGAAACAACTAGGAATACAGACAGAGATGCCTTCTTTTTCGAAACAAAAACAGCAACACACAGTTGGAGAAAGCAACGCTTCTCGACTTGTTACAAAAATAAGGTAAGATTTTCTTATTATGATTGATACTTTACTAGATCCACTAATTAAATGTATATAACTTATAAATGTATGATAACTTATACTAGGTATGTATAAATATATCACTAAAATGGTAAAAGGACACTCCCACTGAGAATAGCAGATACTCGAGTACAATTTTAGAAATTGATGTACATGAACTTATCTATGTAGAAGAAGTTGACAAAGTTCAAATCAAACTTCCTTTGATATAGCTTATGTTAACCCTTTCATCCCTATGCAACTTTAGTTTACTCGACTATTCATTGATCTGGATGAGTCTATTACGGTCAACAGTGGTGAAAGGGTTAAATGCATTGTTACACTTTATGTGTTTGTCAGATTCAAAATGTACCTATTTACTATCTTTCAGGTGGGTCGTAGAGGCTGTGAATGGGCGTTTAAAAACTTGGAAATATCTGGACCGTGTGCTCCCCAACTCCCAGATTCCATACGTTGGAGATATTGTAAGAATTGTGTGTGCAATCTGCAACAAGTTCAGTACACCAATAAGCACGGGAGACGCAGAAAAAGATCAAGTAATTGGTTCGAAGATGTTGTATCTGTCGAAGAAACAGAACACTCTTCAGGAAAGAATCGACCGAGATGGCCTTGCCAATAGACCAAGCAAGTGGCAGAGGATGGACACCAGCAGTGAAATTGACTTTCCTGTAATGACAGAAGAAGACCTGAGGAATTTGACACTTGGTGTTTATCAACTAAAATTAGCAAGGGCCTACACACAGGAGCATATGAGTGAATCGGGGGGATATGAAGTATCTGTCTGTAAAGTAGATGCTAACCTCATCAGTGCCAAGATTCAGAGCAGACACATCAGCTCAAAAGCATACCAACTGTGGGTATTTTTCGATGAGTGCACTGTGCAAGGGTGGTACTGTAAATGCCGAGCTGGAGCGAGAGTAGTTGGGACTTGCTCCCATGTTGCTTCAGTGGTATGGTATATGGGATTTGCACGTCATTTGGACAAAACCTTCGACTTTAGCAAGGACTGGACACAATATCTGCAAGATGCCAGCCATACACCAGAGCCACTCAGTGTTGATGAGAGTGATGATGAGGGGAACACCGAAGAGTGAAGAAGAATAGGAAAAACACAGCTGCACAGATGTAAATTGTATTTTCGAATTATGACTGTCTCCAAAATTCTAATCAAAGATCCATTAACACTTATCTCGGGTGACAAGGTCTCTTGTTGTTAAATGTTGTTTCTTAAGTATCATTTTTTGTTATCATTTGAACATGTCATTATTTGTTTATATCCTTTACGATTTACCTGGATCGTAAGGATTATTGATTACGGGAATATTGATAAAATTGTTAAATTGAAAGTGAATCTGAATTGTTCTTTATCCTCTTAGTAAAACGCCAAATAAAATACCAATACAATATTAAAGCACAAACTATATTAAAAAAACTCGCTATTTTCTTTCATTTTTTTTTTACCATATTAACATACCAGTTTATAACTTGTAATATCCAGCACCAGTGTCGCCATTGTAAAACATTTCATGTACCGTTGCTATGGAAGGCATTTGGTTGCTAAGACAAGACATGGTTGCTGTGGAACATCAACTATATGTTGTTTCTGCTTCCTTCATATTTACTGTAATTTCATAATTTAATCTTGTAATATCAAACACTTTTTGTGTCCATTATGATAGAAATAATGTACTGTTGCTATGGAGAAACTTTGGTTGTGATTGCGTTGCTAGGAAGAATCAAAAACATGTTTGGGCACATTGAAATACTCTCAAAGATTCTTAAAAACTTAACAATATTCATGCAAAGTTGTATAAAGTATTTTGAACAAACAACTTTTATAAAATATTATAATACATACTTAAATATCACTCAATGTGCAATTAGACTGTATATACTATGTGGGTTTCCAGGTCTGTTGCTAGGCAACGCAATGTCGGAATTCTTTGAAACTGCATGTTTTATAAATCTCATATGTCCATGTATGCATGGTATAAAAATTGAGTAAATCTGAGGTGGGGCCAAAAATGGCCCTTAATGCACCTACTCCTTTGAGAAAGACCCCTTCTGAACATTATGAGAAATAACGCTAACAAACTTACATTCTCAAATTCAAGAGGGCCGTCTGTTCGCCATCTTGGTTTTCCCTTCTGTCCTAAAACTTAATATGTGTAACTAGGGACCATGGGGAACCTTCATGTAACATTTGAGAAAGATCCCTCTGAAAAACAGGGCTAACAAACTAACTCTCAAATTCAAAATGGCTGCCTGTCCGCCATTTTGGTTTTGTGATCAGTCCCAAAAAACGAAATGCAAAACTACAGATCATAAGGGAAACTTCAAGTGAAATATGAGAAAGATCCATCCAGTACTTTCTGAGAAATAGCGCTAACAAGAATTGTTTAAGGATGTTTGAATATATATCAAAGTCGTTTATTTGAACAAACTTGGTAGCCCTTCATCCCAGCAAGCTTCTGGCCAAATATCATTTTGGTTACCGAGAAGAAGTTGTTTAAAGTAAAAAGTTGACGCCACACCATGCCCTTTGGTGTTAATTTGGGAAAATGAAAAGTATACAATTAGCTTGTATCTGAATTTAATGTAATTTTTCTATTCTAAATTACCATCAATCATGTGTGATCATATTGTAAAAAAAATCAGAATAAATGAATTTCCATGTACCGTAAAAACCCATGTAATTTGCGCACTTTTTTTTCAGAAATTTAATACTCAAAGTGGGGGGTGCGTGAAATACACAGGTATAGAAAAAATCAAGTTTTTTTCAGGAAAAGATCGACGATTCTGAGATCGCCATCTTAAATTATGTCCCTTGGTACACGGAACTCTAAGACAAATGACGATCAACAAATTTATTTATGTCAAACATTAATAAAAGATACATAATGTGTTGTTATGTGAGATTATGTGAAAAGTATTAATAAATAGGTAACCGTTAACAAAAAAAGTTTAGCCAAATTCCTATGCCAGAGAATCGCCGATCAACTTACGACATTACGTTTCGACATCTCGGTGCGTTTCCCCATACTATTACGAAAATGTAGTTGTTCAATTTAAGCTCCGTTCTCTGTAAGTTCTGTAAGGTTTTTTTCAAATCGCCTATGGGTATACGTATAACATGGTTTTTTTCCGGCTCACTTTCATGTTGATCTCGCGTCTAACATAACGTAAACACGTGATTGATAATAACCTCGTGAATTATTTCAATATTTATTAAATGAAGAATCGTAAAAATAGTCTGCGTTAACTATTTTTTTCCTTGGAGTCGATTTGAAGAGGATGTATTGATTGTCCACGCTTCTAGTATAAACATATTTTTTATAATCCCTTATCAGTCAAATCAGTCTAGTTATGACAATGTGGCTTCGTATTTCACGCCACATGTTGGCGAGTGAAAAAAATAACAAAACGGTCCGTCGATCGCGACTGCAAATCATTTCAATTAGTAGAGCTATTGTTAACAGTTAATCACAGAGATAGTGTTAGCTCATTACTGCATTGTAATTTGTAAAAAAATATCGCCAAACCACAGACTTAGATAATCTAATTCCGTGGCCAAACTGAACTGTGACATGACCTGGTTTGAAGTGATGTAACCCAAGCCGCCATGATGAGCCCTTCTCACTGATCGTAATTATGATCAATAAAAGGTATCTAATTATGACTTTCACCAGGAGATATGCACCAGCGGTTACTAAACATCGAATTACTTATTAATTGATTTGATGTATGCCGAAATGCGCACACGTGTGTCATGTGTGATCAGATAATTCAAAGAAAACAAGCAACAAAATACACATTTTACGTAGTTTCTACTTGGTTTTAAATATCATTTTACATCAATGAAAAAAAAATCATAGAAATATATTTTAAAAAAAACATATTCAGAGATCGATTTTCGGAGCATGAACATCGTTTTTTTCCCGATTTTTTGGGTGCGCAAAATATTTGAGTAGAACCTTTTTTCCCGATTTTCAGCCTCAAAAAGTACCTGCGCAAATTACACAGGTGCGCAAATTACATGGGTTTTTACGGTATACTGTATATTACATACACATTTGACACTTTAAGTTCAGTAATGAAGGATTATATCGATTATGGAATTTGTAATCGATAATCGGAATCGAACAGGACAAATCGATCGATGTTCGATTATTATTTATCGATCATCAGTCCATCACTGGCTTCAACTTGTTCAGGATTTTGATTAATAACAGTGGCCTTGACCTCAACTCTACAACCCTGAAACTGAAACTTGTCCGAGATATGGTCCTTTGTAATTGTGTGAAGTTTGATCAAAATCCTGATGAAATGAAGCCGCTAGAGCGCTGACAACCATTTTCTAAACAAGTAACGGTGACCTTGACCCAAAAACCCTGAAACTTGAACTTTGTTCGAGATATTATTGTCCTTTGTAATTGTGTGAAGTTTAATCAAAACCCTTCAAGGAATGAAGCCGCTGGAGCGCTGACAATGATTTTCTAAAATAAGTAACGGTGACCTTGACCCAACAACCCTGAAATTTGAACTTCTCCGAGATATTATTGTCCTTTGTAATTATATGAAGTTTGATCAGAAACCCTTCAAGGAATGAAGACGCTAGAGGCTGACAAGGATTTTCTAAAAATAGCAACGGTGACGTTAACCCGACAACCCTGAAATGCGAAATTGTCCGAAATATTATGGTCCTATGTAATTGTGTGAATTTTTACCAAAATCCCTCGAGGAATGACGCCGCTGGAGTGCTGACAACGATTTTCTAAAAAAAGTAACGGTGACCTTGACCCAACAACCCTGAAACTCAAACTTGTCCGAGATATTATGGTCCTTTATAATTGTACGAAGTTTGATCAAAAACCCTTCAAGGAATGAAGACGCTAGAGGCTGACAAGGATTTTCTAAAAATAGCAACGGTGACCATGACCCGACAACCCTGAAATTCGAACTTGTCCGAGATATTATGGTCCTTTGTAATTGTGTGAAGTTTGATCAAAATCCTGATGGAATGAAGCCGCTAGAGCGCTGACAACGATTTAAAAAAAAAGTAAAGGTGACCTTGACCTTGACCCAACAACCCTGAAACTTGAACTTTGTTCGGAGATATTATGGTCCTTTGTAATTGTTATGAAGTTTAATCAAAATCCTTCAAGGAATGAAGCCGCTGGAGTGCTGACAACGATTTTCTAAAAAACGTAACGGTGACCTTGACCCAACAACCCTAAAACTTGAACTTCTCGAAGATATTATTGTCCTTTGTAATTGTATGAAGTTTGATCAGAAACCCTTCAAGGAATGAAGCCACTAGAGGGCTGACAAGGATTTTCTAAAAATAGCAACGGTGACCATGACCCGACAACCCTGAAACTCAAACTTGTCTGAGATATTATGGTCCTTTGTAATTGTATGAAGTTTGATAAAAATCCCTCGAGGGATGACGCCGCTGGAGTGCTGACAAAGATTTTCTAAAAATAGTAACGGTGACCTTGACCCGATAACCCTGTTACTCAAACTTGTCCGACATATTATGGTCCTTTGTAATTGTATGAAGTTTGATCAAAATCCTCCAAGGAATGAAGCCGCTAGAGCGCTGACAAGGATTTTCTGAAAATAGTAATGGTGACCTTGACCTGACAACCCTGAAACTTGAACTTGTCCGAGATATTATGATTCTTTGTATTTGTGTGAAGTTTGATCAAAATCCCTCAAGGAATGAAGCTGATAGAGCGCTGACAAACATTGGTGTTACGTACATACGGAGAGGAAACCTATAGTCCCCCTGATTTCATTGGTAGGGGACTAATAATGAAGGAGTGTATAATAATTTTTACTTTGTGATTCATAAATCATGAATTACCAAAAAAGATTTCACATAAATATGAAACAGAGGTCATCATACTTTCAATGCCTCCGCTAGGGGGTGTTAACCACAGCCTCTGGTTAACTAGTCTTCCTCGGTGAGTCAGTATTTATACACAACAAAAACGATGAAACAACAGTTTACCTGTTTATTACAATGCGAGATATTTAAATGAGGCAGATAGCAAGATAAAAGAAAATACAAACTTATACTTTGGCGTATCAGAGGCTACTCACTCAACACAATAAGCTAACTATATACAATACTACAAAAACAAACATGTACTGACGAGGTAGCCTCCTAAGCAAAAAAAGAGGCCACAAAGACAAACAAAAAATATATTCTCAGCAATATATTTTAAGTAGGCCAGACAACTAACTCTTGAGCGATTCAAGACAGGCCGAATGTAAATNTTTGCCTTGAGCGATTCAAGAGAGGCAAACTGACCACCAGACTTAAGCGATTTAAGAGCTGGCAAGACGAAACTCCTGAGCGATTCAAGAGCCTAGTAGAATCAAGAATAGACAGAAAAATTAAAGCAAAAGCAGTAAAATAATCAACAGATAAGTAAATAATATTACAGAAAAGTATTGGGGGGAAAATTCCCCAGGAATTAAAACCCAAATGGAACGAAACGAGGAATTGGAAATTACTAGTGAGTGAGAGCCCCCAATACTTAATATAAACTAGGTAATAATAACTAAAATTGAAGATTGAGGTACAAAGAACAAGTAACAAGCACAAAGTAAAACATGAAATGATTTCAGTTGGACAAGGTAGTATTTTGTGCATTTGAAATAACGGTAGGATCCGTACGAATATACGTATATAGCAGTTGGAGGACCATCTACCCAAGGTTTGAATGACATGATCCTCAACGCCAGCAGCCGCTGCGGAGGTGGCAGCACCAACCCGGAAAGAATAACCATTAAAAGATCGATGATCCACACCTATACGAGTCAGTGTTTCTTTTAACAAAGAGATAAAAGTATGGCGCATTAAAGGTTTGACGTTAAGGTCAACATATTGTCTACGAAAAGGGGCGACGACGGGGTAGCCCCTTGAGTAACACGAGTGGTCAAAACTTACATATAGTAACCACAAGAGTTAAAACAGTGTTCTCAAATATCTTGATGACAACTCCTTATCCAAAAGGGTCAGTTTTTGAGGAACGCAAACACAGGTGAAACTGAGACTTGTCCGGGAACACAGATATATCTCCGATGCGAATGAAGCTGTTACAAATTGTAGCAGGATCTGTTCGGATATAAAGAGTAAAACAGTCAGATGACCATCTACCCAAAGTCTGAATAACATGATCCTGGACACCGGCGGCAGCTGCTGAGGTAGCCGCACCAATACGCAAAGGAATGTCCATTAAAATCATGGCTGTTGATACCTATACGAGTC